CTGTCTGTCTGTCTGTCTGTCTGTCTGTCTGTCTGTCTGTCTGTCTGTCTGTCTGCCTGCCTGCCTTTCTGTCTGCCTGCCTTTCTGCAAAATATACACAAAAATATATATCTGGGATTCTCTTTCAAATAAAGACCTTGTACGATTAGAAAATATAATTTTATGATAAATAACCCCCATGACAAAAAAGATCTTGTTGTTACATTCCATATGTCATTAAGTCAAAGCTAGATTTGAACAGGTAGATTTTTCAACCTATTGTAAGGAAACCATCTCTCCTACTTGCCTCTTCAGTATAAACTGGTCACACCGCTGACATCGATGGTGGTTACGAAGCCAGACTCAGATGAGAAGAGCCAGGCATCTCTTAAGGATGTAGATGCAGTGCAGGAGGAATCAGTGTCTGCGTCTGGTGCAGGTATGGTCATGTCTGCTGTTTATCACAGAACCTCAATTAGGCTCTGGAAGCTTTGTGTATCACGCAACAAGAATATTTTCGTAGTATGATAAAGTAAGAGAGAAAAGTAAAGTTAATCTTTTTTTTTAGACTGACTTAAAACATGGAACAATGATTAGAGCAGCATGTGTTATTCTGTTATCGGATGAAGATTGTTCGGTTCACGGTCTATAACTGGACGAAATGGGGTGGTTATTTATTGTTTTTTTTCTATAAAAACTAAGGACAGGTGTTCATTTTCCTATTTAAAGACCAGGATAGATGGAGTCAGGGAAACATTAACCACCCACAGCATCCCCCTGACCCAAGCTCTCCAGCTGGCGACAGAGAGACGTCTCTTTCTTCCTGCGACTCCCTAAAGGGTATAAGCGGCGGGCGAAAGTTAAAGTTAAAATTTGAGTAGATCTATATTATGATGGAAAACGAAAAGGGGACATGTTTGCAAGTTTCTGTCAGCCATAGGACTGGGAAGAAGATTACTACAACTTTTGGATTGTATGAATTTTCAGTGTCTCACACATTATACATTCACATGTTTTTTACAGCTTTCATGATGAGTGGAATGCGTAGGCATCATATGCCTAGTAGTCGGCATAGATCTCACAAGAAAAGCAAAACAGGTTTTCCCCCTCAATTTTCTATGGACCCGGTGGGGATGAATGGTTTCTATGATCCAGTCTTTAATACCCACCGTCCCGGTCTTCCACCGATGAGACCAACAGCACCAAATTGGAGAAGACCAACAACGACAACAACGACGACGAGAAGACCAACTACAACTCGAAGGGTCAGACCAACCCGCCCTAAACGTCAAAGATGTACGTTTCAGTTTTATATATTGAAATTATAATTATGCGGTTTTCTGAAATTGGGGCGAGTCAGTTTCCATTACAAGAAAAGTTCATTACAAAAGCCAACTGAAAGTTTGAAAAAAAAGGTGGTTTGTCATTATGCCTTTAAAGATGACTGTTTTCATATGAGTGTAGTTGTAGAGGCAACATGTAGAGTGCTGGATTTTTGGGGAGAAGGAGACGATGATGATTGGGGTTTGTTTTTTGGTTGTTGTTTGTTTGTTGGTTTTTGTTTGTTTGTTTGTTGTTGTTTGTTTTTTTTGTGTTTTTTTGGGGGGGGGGGGGGGGGGTGTTAGTGATCCTGACAAAGCCCGAAGCGGCGAAACGTTGAACACAATAGATCTATAAAAATGTTTGAAATTCTACAGTCTCCACTATTTCTTTTCTTTTTGCTGTCTACGGTGATGATGAGGATGCTTATAATATTTTTTATTCTCTGCTATCTGCAGATTCTCTGTTGTCAGCACTTGTTGTGCAGACTCCATCTCGTAGCGCTTGTGCCGTGCCAAGGAAAGTGCAAGCTGGGAACTATACCTTACTCAACAAATCTGATGGTAAGACCGCCTGTTTTTCATATTTCAACTGTAAAGTGTTTTTGTTATATATATTTTGTTTTGTTTTGTTTGCTTAGTTTTTGTTATTTCATATTATGTTTACATATTATTATGTGAGGCAGCATGGTGAAATCATGCGCCCGTCAAAACAATAGAATCATAGAAACCAGCATTTTTTTTGGCTTTGAGCAATGTTTTCATGTCCTTTTGAAAACGCATTTCTGTGAGGGCGTTACAGAAAAACGTCGATTGAAGGCACAACATTTTTTTTGAGAACGCTCAAGCTTTGGAAGTCAGCAAACTTTGGAAGCCTTTATCTTACTAATTTTACCTCTCACACCACTGCTTTAATTGCAAATTTCGACTTTTATTCTTGGTAGATGTGTATTTTTTCGCCAAATGCAAGACAAATGAACTAGCATTAGGATGATAGAATAACACCATATACCTAACAATTGACAAGTGCCTAACTTCACCACATTTTGACACATATATTTAAAAACAAATTAATTTATACATATTTTACTTTTCTAGGATGGGGAGGTGGGGGGTTAGAGTGTTGAATGTGCAAAGGAATAATATATTGTTTTAAGGAGAGAGAGAGAGAGAGAGAGAGAGAGAGAGAGAGAGAGAGAGAGAGAGAGAGAGAGAGAG